TTGTCTCCCACTTTCTGTCCAGTTATCTCGCTTACAGGATTCTCTTTCTGTTCATATTTCTAATGTTTCTCCTCGTATTGTTCCTTCATTACCTCCGTGGAGAGTCCCCCTTCCCAAGTTTTGTACGTCCTTGACTTGTATTACTAAAGCCTTTACCCCTCCTACAATTCTGAAAAGCCTCTTCCTTGAGCACTTTTCTTCGCACTCCCACTCTATTTCCATCTTCCCTGATGGGTCTAATTCTGCGGATGGTGTGGGCTACTCTGTTGTTTTTCCTGACCGTACTTACATGTGTCGCCTCCCTTCGGAGGCTAGCGTCTTTACGGCAGAACTTTATGCTATTCTCTATGCTCTTTGTCTCTTGTTTTCTCATTCTCATTCCTCCTTTGTGGTTGTAGTTGATTCTCGTAGTGCCAAGCAGTGAGGGGGTAGGAGGGAGGGAAGGAGTGAGGGGGTAGGAGAGAGGGTAGGAGTGAGGGGTAGGAGGGAGGGAAGCAGTGAGGGGGTAGGAGGGAGGGTAGGAGTGGAGGGGTAGGAGTGAGAGGGTAGGAGGGAGAGGGTAGGAGGGAGGGTAGGAGTGAGAGGGTAGGAGGGAGGGGTAGGAGTGAGGGGGTAGAAGTGAGGGGTAGGAGGGAGGGCAGAAGTGAGGGGGTAGGAGGGAGGGAAGCAGTGAGGGGGTAGGAGGGAGGGTAGGAGTGAGGAAGGAGGGTAGGAGTGAGGGGGTAGGATGGAGGGCAGGAGTGAGGGTGTAGAAGTGAGGGAAGGAGTGAGGGGGTAGTAGGGGGGGTAGGAGTGAGGGGGTAGGAGGGAGGGAAGCAGTGAGGGGGTAGGAGGGAGGGAAGGAGTGAGGGGGTAGGAGGGAGGGTAGGAGTGAGGGGGTAGTAGGGAGGGTAGGAGTGAGGGGGTAGGAGTGAGGGGGTAGAAGGAGGTAGGAGTGAGGGGTAGGAGGGAGGGTAGAAGTGAGGGGGTAGGAGGGAGGGTAGAGGAGTGAGGAGGGTAGAGGAGTGAGGAGGGTAGGAGGAGTGAGGGGGGTAGAGGAGTGAGGAGGGTAGAGGAGTGAGGGGGTAGAGGAGTGAAGGGGTAGAGGAGTGAGGAGGGTAGAGGAGTGAAGGGGTAGAGGAGTGAAGGGGTAGAGGAGTGAGGAGGGTAGAGGAGTGAGGAGGGTAGAGGAGTGAGGAGGGTAGAGGAGGGGTAGAGGAGTGAGGAGGGTAGAGGAGTGAGGAGGGTAGAGGAGTGAGGAGGGGTAGAGGAGTGAAGGGGTAGAGGAGTGAGGAGGGTAGAGGAGTGAGGAGGGTAGAGTGAAGGGGTAGAGGAGTGAGGAGGGTAGAGGAGTTAAGGGGTAGAGGAGTGAGGAGGGTAGAGGAGTGAAGGGGTAGAGTGAGGAGGGTAGAGTGAGGAGGGTAGAGGAGTGAAGGGGTAGAGGAGTGAAGGGGTAGAGGAGTGAGGAGGGTAGAGGAGTGAGGAGGGTAGAGGAGTGAGGAGGGTAGAGGAGTGAGGAGGGTAGAGGAGTGAGGAGGGTAGAGGAGTGAGGAGGGTAGAGGAGAGAAGGGGTAGAGGAGTGAGGTGGGAAGGAAGAGTGAGGAGAAGGATTAGTGAGGGGGAGGTATGAGGGGGAAGAGTAGTGAGGGGGAGGAGTGAAGGGGGTAGGAGGGAGAAGTGAAGAGGCAGGAAGAACGGTAGGAGGGAGGGAAGAAGGATGGGCAAGAGTGAGGGGTAAGAGGGAGGGGGAAGGGAGGGGAAGGAATGAGCAGGGATGGAGTAAAAGGAGGAGTGAGGGGGGAAGGAGGAGTGACGGGGGGGTGGGAGGAGTGAGGGGGGGGAAGGAGGAATGAGGGGTGAAGGAGGAGTGATGAGGGGGGGGGGGAGGAGTGAAGGGGAAAGGAGGAGTGAGGGGCGAATGAAGAGTGAGGAGGGAAGGAAGAGTGAGGAGGGAAGGAAGAGTGAGGAGGGAAGGAAGAGTGAGGAGGGAAGGAAGAGTGAGGAGGGAAGGGGGAGTGAGGAGGGAAGGGGGAATGAGGGTGAAGAGGAGTGAGGGTAGGGAGGAATAGTGAAAGGGGAGGAGGAGTTAGGGGGGAGGAATAGTAAGGGGGTAGTAGTGAGGGGGGGGTACGAGTGAATGGGAGGAGGAATGAGGGGGTATTGAAGAGTGAGGGAGTAGGAGGGAGGGGCAGGAGGGAGGGGAAAGGAGGGAGAGGGTAGGAGGGAGGGGGCAGGAGGAAGTGAGGGGGTAGGAGGAAGGGGGAGGAGCAAGGGCAGGAGTGAAGGGATTGGAGGGAGGGCTGGAGTGAGGGGGTAGAAGGAAGGGCTGGATTGATGGGGTAAGAGTGAGGGGGCAGGAGGTGAGGAGTGAGGAGGGAGGTGGTAGGAGAGAGGTAGGGGGTAGGGGGGAGGAGTGAGGGGGGTAGGAGAAAGGGCAAAAGTGATGGGGGTAGGAGGGGCATATTGAGGGGGAAGGAGGGAGGATTGAGGGGGCAGGAGGGAGGGTAGGAGTGAGGGGCGTAGAAGGGAGGGCAGGAGTGATGGGATTGGGGGAAGGAGTTAGGGGGTAGGTAGGAGGGGTAGGTATGACCTGGCTATATTGGTTATGTCATGTCAAATTGTTGCATGCTGAATGCTCAAAGCCCCTTTCTTTATTCAGTGTTGTCACATTCCTCATGTGGGTGTGGATAGGCAAACACTCATCTAGTTAAACTTATCTCATAGTACTTTCAGAGACCGGTAATTTAGATTGTGGTAAGTAGAATCTCCAAATAAATGGATCTTTAAAGCGCATTCCTATTTGGGTTTAAAAGGTTGTACCGAATAAGAAACTCGGATAAAATAGTCTAACACGAGCAATGTTGTTATTCAGTTTGGTTGCCTAAAGCACATACAAGGACTAGACATTACCAGGCATTCCTGTATGCCTTACCTTATGCTAAAACATTGCCACAACCCTGGGTTTTATTGATTTAAATGGCCACAAGGAGTCATACAAAATTGCAGGTTATAATGTTATTAGTTTATCCCCTGTGGTGACAAGTGGGCTGACTGATGTCCGTTGACACCTGTATCGTGCTTCAGTTTACTCGCCAGATCGTCCTATCTCTGGACTCGTCTGTAGGAAGTATATCAAAATAATTTGGATCATTAATAGCATAAGAGTTTGGTGTAGGAGAGAGTTGGAGTGTTTGTCGTGGCTCTCGGTTGTTCCTGTTATTAGTTGACTTAGTTTTAGAAATATTTTTGTTGGCCAGTGTTGAAGTTGTTTGAAAGTAGATGTGTTTTTGTAAAGAAGGTGGGGGGTCTCCATGCTTGGCTTCAATTATCTAAGTGATTATAGATATGTTGTGTATAAATGTTTGGACATTAGAATAATTACCTTCTTTTCGTTAAAGTCAAAAGGTAGCTTGATTAATTCTAGGGTTTTTTGTTTTTTACTGGAGCAACTTTTGGTTAATGACGGAATCTAGCTCAAAGGTCCTTTATTTCATTGTTCTTCTTCATTTTAATGTGGTAGTTGTGATATGGATTGTTCTGGCTCACCTGTAAGGTTTTGCAATGTTAAATACTGTATATAATAATAAGAATTTGCCAGTCTTGTAACCATTTTTAGAGTTCCCGTAGATCTTTGTAAGGGCTCGATATCATTTTTTCATGTTCCCTATACCATAAATCTTGGTGTCATCTGCAAAATTGATGTGGTTTGTAATAATTTGATTTGTCATTGAGGTATATAAGGTTTAGACCCTTGTGGTACGCTTCATGCCGTATTTTCCAGTCAAATCTGTTTCAGAGGAAGCTTTAATGTATTTGTTTTAATTAAGCAATCTTTTTATCCTTTATTCCATGTGCTTCATATTTCACTCCTAGCCTTTGATATGGTGCTTTATCAAACACAGTGTGTGTGTTTGAATAGCTGGTTATCAGAAAAAAATTGTGAACAGGTTTGTTTTTAACAAACCAATGTTTTGTTGATTTTACAAGAATATTAATGTTTCTTCCCTTCAGGACCTTGCAGATGTGAGGTCAAAGTAATTTTAAAGTTTTCTGCTTGGCAGTTTCAAAAATTTGAGTAACATTTGAAATCTATCTAGCGAGTTTAAGTGGCAGTAAGTTTGGCTGTCAATTCATTTAATAGCTTGGATTGAATTCCAGGTATTTGAAGTTTTTTTGAATGTTAGTTTGTAAGGCTCTTCCCATTTATGGTGCTTGTTATAGGCAGATAGTTTATATATACACTATCTTGAAATAGTTATCTTCAGCAGTTTGAAACATTTGTGGTAATGGGATGTCTGGTGTGAATAATTTAGTGTTCATTACTAATATTTGGTAGGACACTTCAGTGCATCATTATATTAACAGATTGGACATGTCTAATGGTTTTGTTTATTTTCTTCTTAGAAAATTGAAGGGTTTGGTACCATTAGACAATATTGTTAGGAAACACTTTCATGTTTCCTATCAAGTTGTGACACTTGTGGGAAAAATTTTTTAGCTAATTTAGTTTAATCTTATCATTGATGTAAATTTTACATCATTTCCACTAATCAATATGTTCCATAGCTTTAACTTTAGTCTATACATGTTTTAAAAGTTAAATTTGTTAGATTAAATTAACTTAAAATAATGGCTAACATTTATCTTTTGCAGTTTAACCTGATAACTAAAAATGAGTAGTTTGGTATGCAAAGCTTTTAAGTTGTCAAAATTAGTTTTCACTTATAAAATAATGTTGCTTAAAGGTATAATATTACCTTTTATATAAAAACTTAAGTTTTTAAGTTTAATTATATAAAGCTAAAGTAATATAACTAAGTTATAATATAACATTAGTTTATCAAGTTTATATAATTAACAAGCTTTATAATAAGTTTATATTAGCTTTATATATTGTATTATACCTTTGTTTATTATAGTTTTATATAAACTCTTATAGCAAGTTTTTCTTAGATATTGTTTGTAATATTAATTTCCAGCATGATTAAATTATAGCTACTTTCAGGATAAAGTATAAAGTATTTTCATTAAAAGATTTATTAAATAGTATACAATATAACTAATGTTGACAATTTTGTTTCAGGTTGAGGTTTCAACTGAAGACTCCAAACAACTTCAAAGGCCAGGAAAACATCCAGAGTACCAAGGACAACAACCACCTGTAAAAGAAAAATAAAGTATATCAAACAGGGACACTCATTTTATTAACACTAACACATACAAATTACTACCAAAACCCCTAAGTCCCAATCTTTTAAGATTGGCTCAGCAAGGCCTACCCCTTATTTGCATTTTGAGGCAGGACTTGTTGGCTGAAAGAGTGGAACACATCTTTTGGTTTAGTGCCCTCAACATGATGTACATAGGCTTCTTGTAAAGCCTATGTACATCATGTTCCAGGCACTAAACCTCTGGATGTATCCACTCTTTCAGTGAACAAGCCCTGTAGTTATTAACAATGTTTGCACATTGTTAAGGGTCCCTACACCTATGCAAATCTAGTCCATCTATTGGATGGGTAGTAGAGCAGGGCTCTGAAAAAGCCAAGCCAGGGAAATCTGCAGGACTGCCTGGTCCCCTTCTATGAAATGGGGTAGGATCAGTACAAACTGCATCAATCCCTGCAGGTGGTAACAGTAGGACTTTGGTACACATCTATAAATGGACTAGATAAAAAAGAAAGAAAGTTAATTATTTGATATAGCTAAAACATTTAATTCAACATACCAGTTTATTGGATGTGCAGAGTAGAACAGCCACACTTCTTAAGCCAGTCAATTCCTTGATACCATCATAATCTCCATTACCACCTGAAACATTTAACCAAATTAGCTTATAAATTTTGTATTAAAAGTTGCTTTGCAAACTCAAATGGCTAATGTGCCTTAACATTTTATTCTCACTAATGCTAATCAAGCACAAGACTTAGATATGGCTACTCAAACTATTTAAGTTTAACAAGTACTTTAAAGTAGAGACAGAATTTTTACTTTACATTATCTACATGCAACCACTGATGCCTTATTTTTCTATTTAAAATATTCACCAACACTCACCCCATTCTGAATGTCAAGCAATCAACTCCTTCAAACTCTAGGATGAACAGCTGGACTTCCCAATTCTTATTCTGAAAGAAAAAGCCTATTTAAACTAGTTACATTAAAAAAATATGAAGTACAGTTACTAGTCAATATTTAATTTGTCTCTTTTACCATTATTTTTTTTTTAATTTAATTATGAACAAATCCATGAGGTCAATTTACCTCCCTGTTGCAATTTTTTTTTAAATGTCATGGGACATTTGAACCCTCATCACAGCCCTTGTGGATTTGGTCATTTGATGCATCACACTATTGTGTGCAATTTATAGATGGAAAAACTTTTAGCCAATTATTTTAGAACCAAGTAACTGAACAAAGTTAAGCAAACCAATTACCATTTAAGTAAACATTCTAAATACCCTCAATTCTTAAATTGAATAAAATGTAACATTTTAAAATTTCTTTGCTATTCAAAACATTTCCTGCAAGGACTAAACTTTTATTGTACCCACTTGTCAAGGCCTAGAACTACAGTTTTTATCCCCCATTTCCAGGCCCCTTCACTATTTAAATACTAATTATAGCAGTACTCTTAACTGTCAGAATGATAGAGGGCAAAAGCATCTTGGCAATTTCAGGCCTTTAGTCCCCCCACAAAGCAGCCCATTACAGCTGACTAACTCACAGGGGCATAGGGTGAAAAACTCAGCCCACCATTTCTTGCCAGGATTCAACCTGGGACCACAGGATCACATCTCCAGTGTGCTGTCTGCTCAGCTGGCCAGCCCCTGTGCTACTTTCTGTAGCATACAAGTTCCACCAATTGTTCTGTACACTGTTCCTGAAGTTATGTTGGAAGCACCCTCCACAACCTGCCAATGAAACATTTAATATGGTTAATAAAATTTTTCCCCACAGCAATGTTTAAACTTAAATATTTGCCTTTTTCAAAATACACTATTTACCTACTTCCCCCACCCCATCTTTCATTTATTGATTCTAGAAAAAAAGCCCTTTTAGTAACAATTTGGTAACAATTTAAAAAGTAGCATACCGAAATCTTTTCAATTATAATTTAAAGTTGGTATTCCCCCACCCCTGCATCCCCATATTGGTAATACAATTTATATAGCTAAAACATGTAATTCAACATACCAGCTTCATAGATGTGCCGAGTAGAACAGCCACTCGCTGCTTTGATACCATTGTAATCTAGCAAAGTACCTGAAACATTTAACCAAATTAGCTTATAAATACAGCTTTTTACTCTAGTTTCTTTGCAAATTCTCAATGGTAGTGTTCCTTTAAAATTGGCTAAAATTTTAAATTTTATTAATGCTAATCAAGCAATTAAAAAGGTAGATATGGCTATTCAAGTTAAGTTTCTTTAGTACATTTAAGTGGAGAAAGATACTTCAGACATAATGCTACATTGTTTAACTTTACTATGTAATATATAATGCAAATCTAATTTATTATTACTACCACACTCACCCAATTCTGAATGTCGAGCAAACACCACCTTCAAACTCTAGGATGTTGTTCTGGACTTCCTGATCTATAGTCTGAAAGAAAAAGCATATTTAAACTTCAATTATATATTACAATTAGATGAAGTACAGTTACCAGTTATTTGTGTTGTAACTTTTTTTTACTTTCAATTATGAAATTCTGTTACAAACATTTATATGAACTGTTTCAGGTTGTGGGACAGATGCTCCTAGATGAACAGAAGATCCAAAAGGCCAAGACAACTCCAGAGACAATCACCTGTAAAAAAAAAAAAAAAAAAACATTAAACAGGGACACTACTTTTATTATCACCAATGCCTAATAATAAAACCAAAAAATCTTAACAGCCTATCTTTTAACAGGCTCAACAAGGCCTATCCCTTCCTCTGATTTTAGTGCAGAGCTTGTTCCCGGAATGGGTGCATTACATCCACCACTTTAGTGCCAAACACATTGTACATATGCTTTACTGAAAGCACTGTACAATGCATGCCAGGCACTAAAGTTTTAGATGCAAACAAGCCCTGTGAGAATTAACAATGTAACCATTGTTAAGGGTCCCTAAACCTGTGCAAATCTAGTCCATCTATTAGATGGGTAGTAGAGCAAAGCTATGAAAAAGCCAAGCCAGGGAAATCTGCAGGACTGCCTGGTCCCCTTTTATGAAATGGGGTAGGATCAGTACAAACTGCATCATCCCCTGTGGGTTGTAACAGTAGGACATGGTTACACACCTATAAATGGACTAGATAAGAGAATTAAGATTAGGTCATTGATATAGCTAAAACATCAAATTCAAACTCTCCCACTTTTGCAGATTAAAGGAGCCTCACTCCAAGCCAGTCCATGCATCATAATCACTTTCACCTGAAAAATATTTCAACAAATTAATTTCAGAATTAAAGCCAATCTTGCTTTACTTTTCAAATTAGCATTCAGTACTTTACAAATTCAGATGGAAAAAATTTCTTTAAGGAATTTACCTTTCCTACATATTCTAGTAGCAGTAGTAAAGATCTAATTTAGCAATATAAATATATATGGCATCAATTTGCTAAGTTTCAGTAAATGTCATTTGAGAAACTATCCACAACTGCACTTCAATGGCAATTTACATTTATCTTTAGCCAATGCTATATTGTTTAAGTTATTACTATTTTTTTTACTTTTATGCAAATCTATTCAGATTAACCTTTACTACAACTCTTCCAACCGACAGAGGGACTTCTGGACTTTCCAAACCACATTCTGGAAAACTATAAATTTAAAACCAAGCTAAAGTAAACATTTATTTTTTTTTACTTTCAAGGGAAAAATACCATCACTTAGAACAAAACTTTTCCTGCCATTAACTTTATTTGACTCATGATTACCCTTAACAGTGTTATACATTTATAGATTAAAGCTTATTTAACAAACATTTAATGTTAACTAAACATGATTTATATTTCATTAAAATTTTATTAATAAAACACCCTCAACTATGTTAAGATCTAATGCCCCACATTACAATCTTCACAATTTCAACATACCATTCTATTCAATACAATCCTGAAAGGACTAAACTTGCAGATATGGTACCCACTAGCCTAAGCCTAGACTTCCATACCCATTCAATTTCCATACCCTAATATTTAATAGGTTTTTAGCAATTAACTTCTACCCTCCAATTCCAATGTACACAGCACTACTTACTGTAGATCTGCAAGTATTTTCCTGCAGCTCTTTGTTGCCAGGACCTTCCACAACCTGTCATGTGAACAGTAAATATTACTAAAAAGTTATTTGCATAGCAATGTTATTTTGTTCATACCTGTACCACCAGTTTAACAGTTGCCGTTTTAAATGGCACACTAACTATCTTGTTGTCCCATCTTTATTAATTACAAACAAAGTTAGTCATTTCAAGTCAACATCCTATACAAATTTTATTTTCCAATAATAGTCATGAACATTTTTCTGGAACATTGCAAAAACTTTAATTTAACAACCATGTATAACATTTTAATAAAAGCAATACAAAATTTATATATACAAATTCTTATTCTTTTGCAACCACTGCTTACTACTAGGGGGACAAATTTATTTTGTTGAATTATGTACCAAGCTTTTTAGGCTGAAAATTCATAATTAACCCAACTATACTACCAAGACAATGATTTTACTAAATTTAGTAATATTTTTACACTAGCAACTATACAAGGCCATATTCTCTCCAGTTATCACCACACTTCTGCAGGTGTAAGGTTCTATCTCCCCCATCTGCAGCACTCATGACCACACTTGGTCTTTATTATAAATTTCTTTATGAACCTGATACAGTACTGTTAATGGATTAAATTTTGTGGGAACAATTTAGCTACAGTTCTGCCAAAGGAATGATTAACACACCATGCAAGCCAACTAATATTAAAATTAGAAATATTTATTAAAAGCAGAAGTTTATCATATGGGATGTTATTTTAGAAGAATGGGTGGCGTGGTTATGTTATGGTCGAGTAACATGGTACAAGAGGGCAAGTAGTTGCTGAGCAAGTATGCCAATTTCAATTTCTAGCAAACTGGCAGATACTGGAGTTACTGAGCAGATAGAGAGTTACTGGCCACCATTCACTAATGACTAGGGGAAGTTAGCTCAGAGCATCTTTGATGTGCTTTGATGGCAACAAAAATGTTGCCCCCTTCAAAAGTTAAGCTTGTCTACAGCATTTTGTTTTTAATTAACTATGTAAGGGGGAGATTCTGAATAGCAAGTGCCAATAGGCACTGCCACTGGCTTATGGCAAAAGATTCTGTAGCAATAGAACTATAAGCCACACTTTCTCCCCCCCCCTTCCTCCCAACTGTTCAGTGTCAAAAGGGAGGGGGTGTCCATTTACTGTACCACTTACATTTTAGTGTGGGCTTCATCCACTATTCTGATGTTAGCTGGAACATTTGTGCCAGCTGCTGGTTTGAAAGGGAGGCATACCATGTGCCAATTCAGGAAGCTTTCCCCGTTCCTCACTGCATGTCAGCTCAGGACCTCACTACCATGTTGGGAGCCAGTTGAAGACTAACCAATCAACATCCCAAGCTGGAGAGCAGTGCCAGCTCTGGGAGAATTTACCACCTGCAAAAAATTTAATACTCTTAATCTACACCATCTATCTCGTCTTTACCTAGCCCCCAAACCTTACATTTGTCAGCATTAAACTGCATCTGGTAGTCTTAACCATTTCAAAACTATATACGGCATCGGTATTTTTTATTTGCCAATTCTGCAACTATTGCAGTCTAAACCATAATCTTGCAAATAACCGAGGTCCAAGGAGAGCTTTTAGGCACTACTTACAACACTTCTCCCAACTTAACCCCATTTATACTAATTTCCTTTGGTATAGCCATGACCTAATCAACTTCAGTCAGCATTCCCAATGATCCAAGCCCCTATCAATTTTGCGCCACTATCAAAATCTCTGCTGAAGTCAAGGTACACAAAATCACAAACCTTATTACTATTTCCTCAACTATGCAACCTAATCCATGAACATTTAGTAATAAAACTATGCGATTCGTTTATCTAGTCAGGTTACTCAAAAAAGAATAGAGAAATGGCACTTGCAATGTTAGATTCTAGTAACTTTCCTCACAATAGACCAAGCTAATTGGTCACTAACTTAAGCATTAAAGTTAACTCAAACTTTTCCTTTAAAACTTGCTATATTAGGAACTTTCCACGACCGGCCTTTACCAGACATAATTAAATAGGGTAAAAACGGTATATTAAATGCAGTAAAACTACGGTAATTTCAATATGATAAACTTGCATTCTTTAAGCATGGGCTGCATAGTAAGTGAACTAAACTAAATGTTAAGCACCCTGGCAAACCACTTCGTTCTATTCAATTTATTTAATCACTTTGTCCGGCTAGAATTTTTAGATTAGAATAAAGGAACACCCTCCCTGGTAACGGCTGAACTAGTTAACCAAATACAAATATTTAGGTAAAATACCTTCATAAAACCCGTCTACTCCCCCCACCAGTAGACTTGTTCAGCTAAAGACATAATGTAATGTTCCACTTTAGTAAATAAAGACTTAAAAAACACTACCCCATCTGTGTAGTTACCGGTTACCTGACATTCTACGCGTAAAATAACCCATCTATTCCCCATAATTGTTCGATATAACTTACCTCTCACCCGCTGGTCGAGTACACAGCAGTATATATCCTCCTCCATCACTCACCGCGTGGATACTATTTCATTCTGGCCGCAAATTGCCTCAAATCACCTACGTTGTCCATAAACATATATAGAAGAGCAACTGACCGTAACACCCGTATAGCGATCATCACATAACGTGGGAACATTAGTAGTACTGCTGTCAAAACATAGATGGCGCCAGGACAAACGGTAATTCCTATGGACTCGGATACAAGACACTCCGTACATTGACAACATCGCACACTAATATTTTTACCACTTCGGACACCAGCTTTAGACGTTTCGCATATGTGTACGTGTTCCATATTAAAACGACAATATAATGCTATTAACAATTAAAATCTTCTATTTAACAGGCATATAGTTATTAAATGAAGTTTAGTGATGTAATAGACATAATCCGGAGTTGGTAAGGACGCCGCCCGCCAGCGTAAACACAACACACCCGAATGCCCACAAACACGATACAACGCACAAAACACAACACTTCTGTCAGTTTTTTGATAAACTCCTTTTATATTTATTATGTGATAGTTATACTTGCATAAAATGATAACTATTATAGGTAAGCGCCTAATATTTAATATTAATCAATAAAAAAGAAGTCAGAAGCCACACGCCTGTCTGTACATGTCTTTTGTGTAAAAGTATTTTGGGCGCTCATGTACTTGTGCGCTAGCTGGCGTTCACACCTGTTCTCGCCTACAAGCATTAGAATTAAACAAACGAATTTATTTTTTCATTTATATACAAGAAGAGAAGGCTACTCTTGAGTCTGTAATATTCATCTGATCACTGGTCTCCCATTTGGTCCTCATTGATTTATAAAAAAAAAAAAAAATGTTTATTTAGGTAAGGTACATACATACAATAATTTTTTTTTTTTTTTTGAGATAATACAAGAGTTCTTACATTCTTGTACAGCCACTAGTACGCGTAGCGTTTCGGGCAAGTCCTTAATCCTATGGTCCCTGGAATACGATCCCCTGCCGCGAAGAATCGTTTTTTCATCCAAGTACACATTTTACTGTTGCGTTAAACAGAGGCTACAGTTAAGGAATTGCGCCCAGTAAATCCTCCCCGGCCAGGATACGAACCCATGACATAGCGCTCGCGGAACGCCAGGCGAAAGATTTACAAAGATTGGTTGACTTATAGGTAGAGCTAGTACATACAATGCCTAAAGCCACTATTATGCAAAGCGTTTCGGGCATGATAAACTTAAATGACAAGCTTAATACTAATTGAGGATAATGAGTAGAATGAAAACAAGAATTGAAAACATAGATGAAAAAGCAGCACAAATACAATTATGTCGACAAACAGCGCTCTTTAAAAAAAAAAAAAAAAAAAAAACACAAAAAAAAAGGTAGGTTACATGGAATTTATTAGGTATAGCTTCGTTTTTAACTTAAACTGGTTGAGAGAGGTACAGTCTTTAACATGGTTGGGAAGGTCATTCCACATTCTGGGCCCCTTGATTTGTAGAGCATTTCTAGTTTGATTAAGTTTGATTAACTCTAGGAATATCAAAACTGTCTTACTTAAAACTTATCTTAACTTATCTTACTTAAAAACTTAATATCAAAACTTATCTTACTATTATTGAATGTCAATAACCGTATTATGCAATTTCAATTTCTTCTATTTCTTTCTTTATTATGCACCCCATACCCATCCCGTGGGCGGTGGTGTAAAGGATTACAGAGGCACATAATCGGTTCAGGAACTGAACCCTCTAGTTCGGTTAGCTAAGCAAGTAACAGTGTTTGACGCTAGTTACAAAATTATTAATGTTGTATACACATGTACACACACTCATACATACATGTATGTACGACGACTGGATCACTGTGTACAGGAGGCTGTTATGGCAGCAAACACTCTCCAGGCGACCATATATCTTGGATAAGTCGCTCCACATAATTGTCGCTTGGACCGTCGACTTCCTATGGCGTCACCTCTCACATATTTACGTCTCATTTCGTTATGAAATTAGATTATTTCAGAGTAAAAATAGGTTTGATCATGTTTTACGTGTAGCACCAACATTATAGTAAGTAAATATACCAAAACTTCCTAGCATTACATAGTAATGAAGAAATTATGATATATTTACTCACTATAATGTTGGTGCTGAATGTAGAACATGAACAAACATATTTTTACTCTGAAAAATATAATTTTATAACAAAATCAGACGAAATTAAGTAGCAGGTGACGCCATAGGAAGTCAACGATCCAAGCGGCAATGTTGTGGAGCGACTTGTCCAAGAAATATTTATTTATTTATGCATATACAAGAATGTACATAAGGAATGTGAGGATACAAATATGGTAATTACAGTCTTGTAAAGCCACTAGCACGCGCAGCGTTTCGGGCAGGTCCTTAATCTAAGAAAATTTTAAGGAGGTAAATACTTGCAAAAATTATAGACAAAAAAATGATAACAGATTACATGAAATGAAAAAAAGATGAGAGAAAATTGTAGGTACAGTATATTAAAGCACATAGGTAGCTGAGATTGATTGCAATGACAGCTTGAATGGTAGTTGACAAAAAATTGGTAGGCACAATACAGCAGAAACAATATAAGATTGGTTGCAATGACAGCTTGAATGGTAGTTTACAAAAAATTGGTAGTCACAATACAGCATATGGCTAGCACATAGAAGAAGACAGCAATGAACACAATGATAAGGTTGATTTAAAATTACATAAAAATTAGGAGATTGGGTAACACTAGGTACAGAGCAAATTTAAAGCTCAGTGTAGGAAACTAAGAAGATGAAGTTAGGTACTTTTTGGTTTTGCTTTTAAATAAGGCAAATGTTTTACAGTTTTTCAATTCACTAGGGAGTGAGTTCCATAGACTAGGTCCCTTAATTTGCATAGAGTGTTTACACAGATTAAGTTTGACCCTGGGGATATCAAAGAGATATTTATTTCTGGTGTGGTGATAATGGGTCCTATTACATCTGTCCAGGGAGAGTTTCAGAGCATGGTTTGCATTTGAGAACAGGGTTTTGTAAATGTAGTTGACACAAGAGAATGTGTGGAGGGAGTTAATATTTAGCAAGTTTAGGGATTTAAACAATGGAGCTGAGTGTTGTCTGAAAGTAGAGTTAGTTATTATTCTGATAGCAGATTTTTGCTGTGTGATGATGGGCTTAAGGTGGTTTGCAGTGGTAGACCCCCATGCACAGATACCATAATTAAGATAGGGGTAGATTAGTGCATAATATAGTGAGAGGAGAGCAGAGTTAGGAACATAATATATATTTATTCTCGACTCACAATCGGGAATCCCGGGTTTGAACTACGGGCGGAACCAAAATGATTTGGCACATTTCATTTTACCAAATGCCTCTGTTCACTTAGCAGTAAATAGGTACCTGGGGGTTTGTCATGTGTATTCTGGGGTCAGTAGATCGACCATGATGGGGGGGGGGGGGGAGGGGGTCCTCGTTATAAGCCTGGAATTTACCCGAGGATCATTATATTTCTAGTGGAATCGAGTTGACAGAAAGCTGGCGGCTTGTCAAAGGTCCTTCCTTTTGCCCTGATGATTTTATCAAGCTGGTTTTTGAATTGGTGTTTTGGCACTTACAGCTTCGTCGGGTAGGCGGTTCCATGGGTTATAGTGTTTTCTCTCCTACATTGTGGCTTGTTGAGCTGCAAGAAAGTACAATTTAATCACCAAAATTTTTATTTTATTTATTTTATTTTATTTATTTATACACAAGAAGGTACATTGGGTTTGTGAGGATACATAGCATGCTTTACAATCTTGTAAAGCCACCACTACGCGCAGGGTTTCGGGCAGATTCTGCCCTTTTTCAACCCTTTTTGTGTATGTATATATATACATACTGTTGATAAACAAAACAATACGGCTTCAAAACAGTTTTGAAGCCGTACTGTTGCGCTAAAACTCTGTTAAGGTTTAAAGTACAACTGGAAAAGATCATCAAGGCAAATGAGGGAACCTTCGACAAGCCGCTGGTTTCCTGTCCTCGTCGAGGCCACTAGTGTTAGTGGCTCTTAGGGGTCATTACACTTAGGGGTCATATTCCACTGATCTATGTGGAAGAGTAAGAATAAAGAGATCAACCTCTTGGTCTCAAGGGGGTCATATTCCAATATGGTGTTCATATGTTCATATATAAATAAAATACACAGATCAATTTTAAAGACTGATTACCCGAAACGCTATGCGCATTAGAACCTTTGCAAGAATGTAAGATGTTATGTACTCTCACAACCCAATGTACCTTCTTGTATATAAATAAATCAATAAATACATTTAAATTTAGCGCCAGAAGCAGGTGGATTACTGGTTTACTGATTATTTCCTGCCCCGAAACGCTTTGCGTAATAGTGGCTTTAGGCATTGTATGTACTAGCTCTATCTATAAATTCATCAATATTTGTATCACACCTTGTATGTATATACTTTACCTGAATAAACATTTTAATTTTAATTTGGTGTAGAAGCGAGCTGGAGACGCGCGTGCACGCCTGTCTCTCTCTCTCTAGTCTGCTTCTAACAGCATCACTACCTCTTGGTTTTCTCCACGCCTGTACACCAGTCCGGTGAGATTGCTTTAAGAATTGGTATTGTGTGTACTGGTAGTTATGATCGCCGTCTGAGAGCTGGCATGAAGGAAAGGTGACATTCCATCCAGCATGCTGGAAGGAATAAGAACAGCGGCTCACAAACCAGGAAACATTCCACACGCAAATGACAATAGCGTGTATCAAATGAATTCGAACCCTCATCAAGGCTCTTGGGGATTTGTTCAGTCGATATTGTTACTGCCTGAGGCGACTGGTTTACCGTCTACTGTATACTCCTGTGAGCGGTGCCGCAAAAGGAGTACTAAGGGAATATAATTAGAACTAATGGGATGTTTGTCATTACTTTATTCAATTGGTCTATGTGTGGCTCTGTGTCTCTCGAGAGATTTGTCTGGGCTAGAGTCCTGGGCAGGGAGGATTGACTGGGCACCAATCCTTATTTGTTTGCCTCTTCACCCAGCAGTAATTGGGTACCTGGTTGTTAACCAATTGGTTAATCTTGTTCCAGGGAAAACTAGATGTTAAGGCATACCGTGAGCTGTGGGAAGGAAAAGCTCTCGGCTGATTACAATTAAAAACTTCTCTTCCTGTACTCGCCAGTTAAAAATATAAAAAATCTTGTAGTCAGGGACAGGTATCCTGTTAGGCTTAAGGTACCCCTTAAGGAGCCGGTCGGCTGAGCGGACAGTACACTGGACTTGTGATCCTGTGGTCCCGGGTTCGATCCCGAGCGCCGGCGAGAAACAATCGGCAGAGTTTCTTTCACCCTATGCCCCTGTTACCTAGCAGTAAAATAGGTACCTGGGTGTTAGTCAGCTGTCACGGGCTGCTTCCTGGGGGTGGAGGCCTGGTCGAGGACCGGGCCGCGTGGATACTAAAGCCCCGAAATCATCTCAAGATAACCTCAAGATAGGGACAGGTATCCTGTTAGGCTTAAGGTACCCCTAGGCCAACTACTGACCTTCCTTGGGATGAGGCTCACAACAGTTGCCCAACACCTGGGTACCTATTTAAAGCTCGGTGAACAAAGGGATTAGGTGTAAGAAAAAAATGGAGTTTGTCAGTCTGTTCAGCTTGGGGATATTACCAAGGGTCCTCGGTTGTGAGCCGAGGACGTAGACTACAGGACTTGTGATTACTTATTGCCCTGCAACTGCTAAGACAATATAATTTACCAGAATTTACTAGAGGGCCACTATCTCTAATGGCCTCAATAAGGCCAATAAGTTAAGTCATTGTGTTAGTGGATTATCAAAGGCGCTCCAATTTTGTCCTGATTTTATCCAACTGGGTTTTGAATTGCAGAAATGTTTCGGCATACATGGCTTCTGTGGGTAGGCAGTTCCATGGGTTTATAACCCACACATTAAGTGCAAGTCATTTTGGTTAACATGATTTTAAATATTGGTATAATATTTTCCTTTTATCAACTTGAAGTTTATAGTGCATGAATTTCAGGTATTTTATCCTCTGCAATAAAATTTGTACTTAAAATTTTTTGCAGTAATATATGTAATATAATATAATGCTACATACAAATTCTAAGATGCAATGGCAAGATTTTGGATTAATAATAATTACATTTTTGCTTTAAATCCCAACAGTAAAGATGCCGTGTTTGGTAATTTCGACCAATATTCCTAAGGAAAGAGTAACTCCAGAAGTCATGACTAGCTTTAGTAAGCAATTTAGTACTGTAATTGGAAAACCTGAGCAGGTAAATGGTTTACATTTTTCATTTTGTTACAATATGGCTTAGATATACATCTGCTTAACTTCATTTATGTTAGATTAAGGGATTGTGATTTACAGGGGTATTGATGAATAATATTTGCAACAATTAACATGATGAGTTTTGGAATTATTTGGTGTATTCTTAGTAACTGCAGAATTGGAACAAAATGCTAAAGAATATACTGTACTGTTCCTTGAAATCAAACTGCTGGGAATTAGTTTCAACAAATTGCATGAAAATGGTATATAAAACCCCAATAATAAGCAGAATTGTCACTTAATGGAGCAATTTGCCACTTTGAACATTGCAAATATTATTTGTTACTAACAATTAGCAAGTTACTGTGGGATATATGCTGTATTAGAAAAGGACACATAACTAACGATTGGAGTTCATCAAACTGAATTTGATAGAATACGATACAGAACATGTAGGGTAATTGAAATAAATTTTAATAAGTTAGTCCAGAAACTTGTCCTTCAAAACAAATGTTTCAGCGAGCAGCCATTTGGCAGCAAGAGGGTAATAACTTCACTCAATGTGATGAGCTAAATTCATTAGGAATAATTATTAGTCCCTGTTCAAGACAAGTCACCATTCGGTAAATCTTTGAGAAATGGTAAATATGAAAAGAGCATTGTTTAATTATAAATTATTAGTTTATTAGGAATTTAAACAAATAATTAAAAAAATCAATGAGAAAATAACAAATTACTTTTGGGAAAATGGAATTTTTTACTAATACTGTACTGTACAATTCACTGATAAGAATGTTTGACTTGTACTGTATATACTATGATATTTAATACATTAAGAACAGGTGAAACTTGATATGGTTACTTGGACCATATTTTCTACCAGAAAATGGTTAAAAAAAATTTTTTTAAGGTTTTTCATATTTTGGAAAGAACATAATTTTCTTATGCCAATATAATGCAACATGTCTTCATTTGTTTGTTAGTATATAATTATATACTACTTATATGCCAATAATTATATACTAATTATATACCACAGTGTTACTAAGTAACACTTGTTGCCTGGGTTTGGGTTACTTAAGCCATATTTTCTACTACTAAGTGAACTAAAAAAAGTGAGTTTTAATATTTTAATTGTTTCTTTGGGAAACCTCATTTTACTGTAGATTTAAAAATACTGTAATGGGAAAATCAAATTTGTTTTCTAGTCCTATACAGACCAAAGTATGGAGCTGAAACAAAGTTTAATAGCAAATGTATTAAAAAATTTCCTGCAAGTGCTTGTGTGATGCAGGTGTGAATAATTTTTCCCTCAACTTTTTGTAATGCAGTTTAAGGTGCTCATGTTAGAAGGTACAAAAGTGACAATTGTGATTACATGTGCACCAGAGGGTTGCATGGAGTGATAGTGATGTTGAACCTTTGTACAGTTGCAAAACGATGGTTTGGTATCAACACACAATAAGTTTGAACAGTAGACATTGCCACTGAAAGATTATTAAAAATTCTGAGAAACATGTGTTGTTTGGATAGAGTAAGAAATGGGGAAAATGCCTAGGGTAAATAAAAAGATTGAGAAGAGCATACAAAGATGATATGAGCATGTTGAATGAATGCATGAGCTCATATATTGAACCTGCAAGAAATGTACTGGATATAAGAGTTTTTTTATTTAGAAAACTATTAATGTTGTAGTACTGTGACATGAATGTTTACATATTGCACTTAATGAAGACTGCCTTAACTTTGCAGTATTGTATGGTACAAGTGATTCCAGAACAACTGATGACATTTGGGGGCACCTTTGATCCATGTGCATCTTGTACTCTTGTGAGCCTTGGCCAGTTAGGTGTGGCCGAGAACAAGGCTATCGCCAAGAAGATTTATGAATTTACGGAGAAAATACTTGGAGTTCCAACTGACAGGCGAGTATCTTAGTCATAGATATTTAATTCTGAAGATATGAGGGTGACTGGGAATATATTAATCCTACTGATTGAAAAATATCTCTAGCCACATTTTAAAACTAGTATTAATAGTATATAAATCTTTTACTGTAAAGTAATTGTAAAGTAGCATTTTGATAAAGAAGAACATTCTGAAATGCTAATTTCATGACATAACCCAGCATAGGAATTTCTAGCTTTTCCCTGGTAGCCCAGTTAAGTGCATAAATATCACATCAAATCAAAAATTTTATTAATAAATGGTTGTACATTTATAATTGGAAAAGTTTACATAAAAATTACAGTACATTAATTAACAAACTAACATAACAAAATTATGCTGTGCTTGAACCCCTTTGAGAGTTCTTTTTCCCCTTAACCTGAATGAAATAGGCTAAGGGAGAGATATACTGCCTATACAACTTCTGCGGTGTTGAACCTTAACTTGGTACTATCCCTTAATAATCTAGAGCCCTCCTTTCCCTTCCTGCCTACTATGTTGCCTGTGACCAGCCCTGTTCCTTGTGGATTCATCTGATTATCACAACAGTGCCATATACCTCCCTCGCTCAACTGTTCTTATACCTTGTATGCTCCCATGTTTAGCATATCTTGGTCCACCTACATGAATAAAATATTTTGATTCTTAACTGACAAGCTTGTGGTTGTCGATTTCCAGCTGCATGTTTATCACCTGTTCTCGACAATCTGGCACACAGATTATTTGAAGTGTAGTCTTGGGAGCATGCCTTACTTCATGTTGGTTAAGTCACCTAAAATATGTGAATGAATGCAAGTGTAGATATTATCATGCTGCCCAGTCTTGCTGTTTGAGGCAGGGATCTTCAACATATTGACATGACAATATTAATAACACTATAAAGTTCGAAGGACACTTCATTGTCCAGTTGAACACGATAACCCACCACTACATGGTAAACACACCACCCCACTACATATTGCTAAAATTACTTCAGTCACTCATCCTCCAAACCTCTTTTGTTCTCAGGACAGTCATGCATTTTCCAGATGGTTTGCTGCAGTGTTGATACTCTGCACTGCATTCTCATGATACTGTAATCACTTTAAAATGGAGCAGCCCATTCTGTACCTCATCACCACAACATGCCCTTGTTTTGAGGGAAAGTATCAACTATTGCACCTGGGCCTCTTCCAGAACTTCACATGTGCTCGCACTGCTTTTTAGCTGTTTACTCACTTCTTTTTATCCTCTTCTCTGGAATTGTTTCCATGTCCTCGCCTCTGATACCTAGAAGGATGCACTTCATTATTCTGCCACTGCAGTCTACAGCCAGGAGTGTCCTCTTGGCTTGCCTCCCTCAGATCCACATCCTTTCTTTCATGTGTGGCCCCATTCCATGCTCATAGGACTTCCATTTCCAATGTGGGTCCCTCCAGACTCAATCTCCACTCGACATTTTTGTCCTCCCCCTGTACCACCTTCGTGGTCCCAGCTGATATCCATCCCTGACATTTGTCTATGAATGAGATTGTTGCTGACAATGCTAACTACATACCAACCATTGCCCTTTTCCACACTACTACTGGCCAGAAATGTAATCCAAATCACTCCGTTTCCTATTGGATCTTTAATCATGCTCACCCTCATTCCAGAGTCCTAATACTGGAGTCTGATGATCACCTTGGAACAGCCCTGGTTATCAAAATAATCTTTGCCTCCACCTCCAACTGAATTTGTTTGCATGACCAAGCTGCCATACCTGCCCCCTACCTGACCCTACCTGACAGTTCTTCATTGTTTGATTTATCTGTGTTGCCTTCAGTTCCCTTTCCTTCCCTTCTTTTTTTCCCTGTAGTGTTTTTGCATCCTTTGGTTTAATTTGCCGTACCTGTTGGCCCGTTGCCCCCTCCTTGCTCTGGGATCTGAGAAATTTGAGGATTTTAGCCATACCTGGGTTTACCTGCAGGTGTAGCTTGGCTTTCACAGGGGATCACTAGGTTGGCAACACAGTTCAGTCGTTGCTTTCTGCTAAGGATCTGGAGCCTTCTTTTTCTCAGGTGTATTTGGCTCAGGTAATTTAGTTTGTGGAGATGCTTACTGTCTGTCCATGGATCAGGGAAGGAACACCGCTCTGCCCTGAGGTCTTCATTTGAGGCTTTTGGGGCTTGGGAGGATTCTGAGGAGAGTCCCTGGATGCCCTTCAACCCATCCATATACCTGGTTCCCTCTTAAATGTTTTCTCCATCTTTAGTTGACTTTTGAGCTTGATTTCTTGGCTGCTGCTCCTCCGAGTGATTTATCTTGTACTCGGATGCATGTTGTTTCGGAAGGTTTATGTCATCCCACTTTTCACCATGTTAGGCTCGGTCAGATCGTTTTGGTTCCTCCTGTGGAATTGGAACACGCTTCCTGGATGGACTCGGCCTCTTGAGCTTTGGTCAACTTTGCAATTTTGGTTGCAGTTACGTGATCCCAGATTAGTCTTAGCATGCAGGCACCCTATTACTTTCCTTAGGGGCCTTGGTCTGGCTTTACTGAACATGTACACTTGAGTGGCATAAGGGTGGCTTCTCTCTCTCTTTTTTTCAGTGCCTGATTTGTGCTGCTTGAGGTTTGCCCATTTGCTCTGGTCCTGCCCTGGAATGTGGGCACATTACAGCTCCTTGTGTTATCTCTCTTGCTTCCTAGTGCCCAGGTTGCAGAGGTTAACAGGTCCTGTCTTTTATTTTCCACTTCTGGGCTGTGGGTGAGCTGTTCTCTGCCCAACTCCAGGGCATCATGGATGTTTTGGCTTCAGTGATTGGTAATTACCCAAGTGTAGTAAAGGATGAGAGCTACACTCGGGATGTCCCATCTTCCCAGTACTGTCGTAAAACAATTTTGAAAGTACTGTTCTGATAATATTGGCCTTCACCACCTTTTCACTTGTTCCATCCATCCCAATAATTTTGGTGTTTTATTGAGTAGAGTTTAACAGTAAAGGATATTTGCACACTCTCCAGGTCAGCCATTTCTGAAGCTTTGCGATTGTTCCACCCTAGAGAGCACTAGTATCATTGGTATGGCTTTCCATTGTTTGAAAGGTTTCCTTATCCAACCTCATAAAGGTTGTGAATAATTTTTTTAATAGTTCACCAGCTATATATTTGAGATTCTAAAGTTAGAAAGTGTATCATAGCCTCCTCGTGCAATGTTCTTTATGTGATCCTCAGGTGATGGTTATCTATCCACAACCACCCCTAGATCTTTCATCAGTTCTTTACAGCCTTTTCACAATTTTGTAAGTTGTGTGTGGTCTATTTTCTCCTATTCCACATTTCATAATGTAGCATTTTTTCACATTACCGGTAAATTCCATCAGCCAAGTGTTGCTCCATACACTCTTGTCCAGACCTTTTTGAGGGGCATGACAGTTGTCTAAAGTTTATCTTTGCTAGTAGCTTGGCATCATCAGCAAACATTTCCATATAATTCCGTATTCCTTCTGGTAAATCGTTCATATAGACGATGAACATTACTGGTGCAAGAACTGAACCCTGTGGTACTCCACTAGTAACATTTCTCTTAGTTTGATACATTACTGTACTTCTGATTATTGGCCTATTTTATCTATCCACTATAATTTTTTTTAATTACATTGGAAGTCTTGCTCTTCCCCCCCCCCTCCCCCAACCTTTCCCCCCCTCCCCCAGTATGTTCCAGCTTTCAGAACAACCACTTATGTGGTTTTCTGTTTAAGGCTTTTTTTTTTTTTAGGTCCAGACATATGTAGACAATCCAACCATCCCTTTCTGGTGAAATGTAGCTCTATCATAGGAACTAAATAGATTTCATGATATTACGAAAACATGTCATCCATTATATACTGTTCATTTTGTTTTAATTATTTTTTCCCCAGTGTTTTGACTACTAGGTAAGTCAAATGATAGGTCTTTGAGATGGGCCTATTCTGCTACCATTTTTGTACTATATGCTTGCATTTTTCCATATATCTGCTAAGATTCCTGACCCAGAAAAAATCAAGTAGGGGTCATGACCCATCAATTGGAAATCGGGGGTTTAAGGGTCAAAATACCTGGGGTAGTGCTGCTTCTCCTAATTTTTATCCTCTAAAGGATGTCAAGAGGATAAAAAGTGCCTGCACTATTTTGTTATTAGTGAACTGACTTTTCATTGTCTTTTTCAGAATGTACATCCAGTTTGTTGATAAACCATCATCAGAGATTGGATATAAAGGAACCACTTTTCATGAACTACTTGGGCGATAAAAGGAGATGGCAAAACTGCCTGTACTTACCTGGGAAATCTCTAGCCTGTGGGATAGATGCTTTATTTTGTAAATAGTTCTATATAACTTACGAGGGTTTAGTAAAAATAATCATTGTAGTAAAAATAATAAATAATAATTTCAGTGTAGAGAAACAGTTTAGAGAAGACTTTGTTTGGAGATAATGCTTTGCCTGTAAGGGCTTTATTAAAGGTCTTGTAGGCAGAATCATTACCTCTTAATAATCTACTCCAATTGTGAAAATTTTTAATATTCTTACGCAATGGCTGTAGAACATTCTGAATAAATTATACCACCATGCAGGCTGGTGAATTTACTTGCTGCTATTCTGTACTGTTGTGCTACTAGCATCCCTGTGAAGACGAATAAAATAATTCATGTCCATTTTCATGTGTAATTATTAACCTAAAGCTGTTTTTGAATGTCCCTCCAGTCATGATTACTATACTATATTTAATCTTAATGAAAATAGTGCAAAAGCTGGGGATGTAACTTCCATGAATCTGCAGATTTCTATACACTGAATGACTGAGAATGTAGGTGTCGTGCAGATATACAGATTCAGTTATAACTAAAAAGAGTTCTTAGACAATTCTCTATGTACTGAATCTTGTATCAAAGATATTTTGTGCAAAAATGTGTTATGTTCACCATATTACACAGACCCTGGGGGGCCTCGTGGCTGAGTGGACTGCACTAGGGGGGGGGGGGTCATTCACCTTGCAGTAAATAGGTACCTGGGAGTTAGACAGCTGCTTCCTGGGGATGTACTCGCCTAGTTGAGCTCTGGCTCTTTGGTCCTGCCTCGACTGTTGATCAAGTGGTGTACAGATATGTGTTTAGAGAGAAATGTAGGAAGTAGACATAATAGAGGAAAATAGATTGGTTAGTAAGGCAGAGTCCAAGAGCTAATTGCTTGATTCTGCAGGCACAAATAGTAAAAACACTAGAAAACGGTAGTAAGGAGGGTGCTGCAACACTAATATACAGTAAGTGGGGTGCTGCAACACACTCAATAGCAGTGTGCGTGAAACGCCCACACACAGTTGCGGGCAGTGAATGCAACACCACGTATATACCATTACCCGAGAAACAACTGACCTGACATGATATTTATATGTAAGCTTTAAAAACATGTCTAGTTCCATTTCGCCGATTTGTACCCTTGCTGTAGTTGTATTTCGACCTAGAGGTCCTGAAATCCCTGCCCCTCATAATTTCCCCTCGACGTAGTGATCGCGCGGGCTAATTCCTATACCAGGCAGCTCAACGGCTTTGGGGAAATGGAAACAAGGTTTACGTGTGTCATTACTCTAAAAGAAACAGCAATGTGATGTTAACAGTCGTCGGACGTCTCATTACTGTCGTTAGGATATTTGGTTCAATCACTCTGCTGAAGTCTGGTGCTGTTGCTGCTTGTGGTGATGGTGTGTGTGTTTGCAGGATCAAGCATTAGCTCTTGGACCTCGCCTTTCTAGCTGCCAAGTGCTTAAAGCAATGACTTTTGTCCTATTTCCTTATCATATCTACTTGTAAAATTATGAATAGAGTTTGCTTTCACAACCTTGCTCCTGTAGTTCATTCCACTTTCCCACTACTTTCATGCTAAATTAAAACTTTCTAACATGCACAATGAAATTACGTTAATGTGATGTATCAATCGGAAAATCTGTAGGAGCCGTGAGGAGGATTCGAACCAGCTCACCTGGACTCCCTAGTAAATGCCTCAAACCACTACACCACGACATGGTCAATATACCTAGCTCGTTCTCCAAACAAAGCCCGAAAAGTGATTCCATGCACCCGCCAAACCCCCTGTTTATGAATGAAAAACGGTTTACACACGACTCACAATTGATGTTCGAACAGTTCCGGAGCAAGTGCTTCACTGACGAATTTTGTTCGAACCACTTCGAACAGTTTCCAGTTTCCTTATGTCTTTTCAGATGGCGGCGCCATGATAAGGCGGCATACTCTAAGACTGGTCTCACGAATAGGCTGGTGGTTATCGCCCCTGTGTGTATTACTATTTGTACCTGCAGAATCGAGCTATTAGCTCTTGGATCCCGCCTTTCTAACCAATGTATTTGTCTCTCTGTCTACTCTATATATTTCTCTAACTCGTACAAACACATCCCAGGAAGCAGGCCGTAGCAGCTGTCTTAACTCCCAGGTACCTATTTACTGCTAGATGAACAGGTACATCAGGGGGAAAGAAACTCTGCCCATTTGTTTCTGCCTCGTCCGGGAATTAAACCCGGGTCCTTAGGACTACGACTCCCAAGCACTACCCACTCAGCCGCGAGAACCCTCAAGTTTGTGCGTGTGTGTGTGTCACCAGTTCGTACACGCGTGTGTTGGTGGATGAGTAGCTGCAGGTTCGAGCCTAAGCTAGAGCTAAGCTAAGTTCGAGCCCCGTTTTTAGAATAGATTAATACCAAGGCAATAATGTCCCATTAAAATGAGAATAAATAACCTTAGCCTGGAGAACTTGAACCTTGGAGGATAAGACGAGGCTTCACGGACGGCTTTTAAGACATTACATGTCAAAATTGTCCGCGAAAACATGATATGGTTATCCATTCCACGACACCCGTTCTCGCAAATTCGTAAAGTCAATATTGACTACTAACAAGGTTAGGTAAGGTCGGTGTTTTCTATGAATCTTTTTAAGGGTATCTATTATGTTAAGTATGTCACCTATGCACATATTTAATAAGTCAATATTGACTTATTAAATTTGCGAGAACGGGTTGTCCACGACGTGCAATGGAGAGCTAGGCGCTCCGATGTTCCATTTTTGAATTGGTGACAGCTGGTGTTTATTATTTACTGAACAGCTCAATATTGTGAAATATTACTTGAAGAGGCTGTCTCTAATAACTAAATAAAAATATATACTTATGTGTAAGCATTGTAATTAAAACTTGGAAATTATTATTATTATTATTATTATTATTATTTATTATTTATTATTATTATTATTATTATTATTATTATTATTATTTTGGAAGAAGAGAAAGCCCTTTTTTAAAAAGGCGTCAGTGATAAGCTGGCTTAGTAAGATCATACATATTATCATTTATGTTAATTAATGAATTGTCAATTAATATCAGTTATGGTGTTAATGTAATGATTAGGTTAGTTAAAGTATTTAATCGTATTTATCTATAAAGTTTGGATCAGAGTTTTCGTCAACAATAGGCTCTTTTACAGCCTTGCCGGGTGTGTGTTCCACAGCCTTGCCGGGTGTGTTCCACAGCCTTGCCGGGTGTGTGTTCCACAGCCTTGTCGGGTGTGTGTTCCACAGCCTTGCCGGGTGTGTGTTCCACAGCCTTGTCGGGTGTGTGTGTTCCACAGCCTTGTCGGGTGTGTGTGTTCCACAGCCTTGCCGGGTGTGTGTTCCACAGCCTTGCTGGGTGTGTTCCACAGCCTTGTAGGGTGTGTGTTCCACAGCCTTGTCGGGTGTGTGTTCCACAGCCTTGCCGGGTGTGTGTGTTCCACAGCCTTGTCGGGTGTGTTCCACAGCCTTGCCGGGTGTGTGTTCCACAGCCTTGCCGGGTGTGTGTTCCACAGCCTTGTTGGGTGTGTTCCACAGCCTTGCCGGGTGTGTGTTCCACATCCTTGCCGGGTGTGTGTTCCACAGCCTTGCTGGGTGTGTTCCACAGCCTTGCCGGGTGTGTGTTCCACATCCTTGCCGGGTGTGTTCCACAGCCTTGTCGGGTGTGTGTTCCACAGCCTTGCCGGGTGTGTGTTCCACAGCCTTGCCGGGTGTGTGTTCCACAGCCTTGCCGGGTGTGTGTTCCACAGCCTTGCCGGGTGTGTGTTCCACAGCCTTGTTGGGTGTGTTCCACAGCCTTGCCGGGTGTGTGTTCCACATCCTCGCCGGGTGTGTGTTCCACAGCCTTGCTGGGTGTGTTCCACAGCCTTGCCGGGTGTGTGTTCCACATCCTTGCCGGGTGTGTTCCACAGCCTTGTCGGGTGTGTGTTCCACAGCCTTGCCGGGTGTGTGTTCCACAGCCTTGCCGGGTGTGTGTTCCACAGCCTTGCCGGGTGTGTGTTCCACAACCTTGGCGGGTGTGTGTTCCACAGCCTCTCCAGGTGTGTGTTCCACAGCCTCTCCAGGTGTGTGTTCCACAGCCTTTCAAGGTGGATCTCGGATTAACAGGAAGATAAATCAATTTTTCCAATTATGAGACCGATAAAAATAACTTATTTGAAGAAAAGTGTTTGTTCTGAAGACGGTCAGCTAATCTAAGTCGAAGACCAACGGCTTTAAGACGAGGACCAAGTCTTGTGTGATGTGCTTGTTGACTTAAGCTTTCTCGAAGTATTGGGTTGTCCTTTGACTCTCCTTTGACTTTTGAACTCTCCTTTGACCTTTGAACTCTCCTTTGACACCTAACACACTAGGAGGACCTATTCTAAGATGACAATCTAGGAAGATCTAGGTGATTCAAGACGTGCTAGCAAGGGGTCACATTGTCTTCTGACGTGCTAAATAGAGAACACAATCTCTTCTAACACCAACTCTTCCCACGTGCTAGAACAAGCCCCCGTTTTGTCAAGACGTGAAAGAACAACATTTTTTCCCGATACGCTAAGACACGGACCCATTTTCTTTCATTCGACGTGACGCGTTTGGTGGGACTAACTAACCTAAAGGTAGAATGTTGCGTTACTTTCTTTTGGCGCGATGAGAAGTAGACCAGTTTCTCGTAGCGCCAGGAAACACTCTCATACTGTGCTAGAAACACAGCTTACTATTTATTCTATCATGCTAGAAAGAGGACCAAGTATTTACTAGTGAGCTAGGAAGAGGACCAAGTATCTACTAGCGTGCTAGGAAGACAACCATACATATATTAGCGTGCTAGGAAGAAAACCGTATATATACTCGAGTGCTAGGAGAACCACATATATACTAACGTGCTAGGAAGACAACCACATATATACTAACGTGCTAGGAAGAGAACCATACACATACTAGCGTGCTAGGAAGAGAACCATACATATACTAGCGTGCTAGGAAGAAAACCATACATATACTAGCGTGCTAGGAAGAAAACCGTATATATACTCGAGTGCTAGGAGAACCACATATATACTAACGTGCTAGGAAGACAACCACATATATACTAACGTGCTAGGAAGAGAACCATACACATACTAGCGTGCTAGGAAGAGAACCATATATATACTAGCGTGCTAGGAAGAGAACCATACATATACTAGCGTGCTAGGAAGAGAACCACATATATAATAGCGTGCTAGGAAGAGAACCACATATATACTAGCGTGCTAGGAAGTGAACCACATATATACTAGCGTGCTAGGAAGAGAACCATACATATACTAGCGTGCTAGGAAGTGAACCACATATA